TTTTCTTCCATCAGCTCTATCAGGCGGCACTTCATGCAAACAAAACTCCTTTCAGGTACCCCCTCCTGAATCATGTACATACCGCAGCTACTACATCCAATCATCCTCTTTGTGTTCTCTACTACTTGGGCCATGGCCACTAATGCCTCTGTGTTTTATCTACTTTCTCACCAAAATCCTATTAGTCTGGTGAACACAAAAACAAACCAGAACACCCTCTCCACAGCAAAAACAAACTCCAAACAAGTTCCAATATCCAAACTCCCCTTACAAACTCCCACTCAAACTCCCCTGTTTACAGCTCTGTTTGCTTGGCTCCTGTGCCGCTGCAGCTATCTGTTAGATGAGTCTCTTTACAACCTAACATGACTCAAGGCTAAAACTAAGGTCAAGAAAGTCCTCATTAGAGAACTCCGATTTGCAGATGATGTACCGCTTGTCGCATATAATGAAAACATGCTAAAAGCACTGATGGATTCTCTGTCCCGAGTTAGTAAACTGTTCTCTCTCGACATAAGCATGAAGAAAACTGTTGTGTTTGCTCAAGGTGTATCTCAATCACCCTAGGTCATTCTGAATGACAGTCCATTAGACGTGGTTCAACAATTCTGTTACCTTGGGTCTACTGTCACCACAAATCTCTCCATGGACGAAGAACTGAACATCAGAATTGGGAAGGCAGCTACAACATTTGGCAGACTTACGAAATGAGCATGGAACAATCCCAAACAGACATTGAAAACAAAGATACTGATATACCAAGCATGCATATTAAGTGTCTTGCTTTATGGATCTGAGACCTGGACTACCTACTTGTGCCAAGAGAAAAAATTGAGCAGTTTCCACCTTCGCTGCCTTTGCAGAATCATGAATATTAAGTGGCAAGATAATGTTTCAAATGTAGATGTCCTAGCAAGAGCTGGCATACCCAGTCTCATAGCGATCCTTAACAACAGAAGACTCTGGTGGCTTGGCCATGTGAGGAGAATGAGTGATAAACGCCTTCCCAAAGAAATCCTCTTTGGTGAACTAACAAGTGGAGCAAGGGCAAGAGGAAGGCCAAAGTTAAGATTCAAGGATATATGTAAAAGCACTATAAAAAGGTTTAACAACAGTCCATGCTCTTGGGAATCTACGTCATCAGATCATAACATCTGGCGATAATTATTACAACAGGGCAAGTCATTTTTCGATAGGATCTATGCAAGTCATGCAAAAGAAATCCGTCTCAGAAGGAAAAATTCTCAGACTCATGAAAACAGAAGTAGACTGGCATGTAGCTATTATAATCAACTGTGCACATCCAATATTGGACACATAAGCCATGAAAGAAATTGCATATCAAGGGCACAACTCATAGATTATCACTGTTTACCACCATCTCTCATTATTTACATTCAATATATTGTATATACAGCCTGCGGCTGTGAAAAAGACCCATCAGATGTACTAAGATTCATGGCCTGATTTTAAAGGTACTTGGTACAGATACAGATTGGCACCTAAAATAAAAAATATTTGAGGCACCTAAATTATCTTTTAAAATCAAAACCTTTCTCCTTATATTCCTTACAATACAATTATTGTAAACATGGGCTTGTTCCTCGTTTGGGTTGTTCTGCTGCTCACATTGACCCAGTCACCATATATAGTGGGAATAATAACTATTTACCTGGTGGAAAATAAAAAGATAATTACATTTGCCATTCATGGTGCTCAAATGCCACCTTACTAAGGCTATGTCTACACTGCAGAGTTTTTCTGGGGTAGTTATCCCGGAAAAGCTCTGCCACGTCCAAGGAACATGTCTGCTTTTCCAAAAAAAATTTTGGAAAGGCAAATGCGTTTTTTTCAGCAGCCCTGTAAACCTCGTTCTACGAGGAAGAAGGGATGTTCCAAAAGAGAGGTTTGTCCAACATTTGGCCCCGTGTAAATGAGCCAAATGTCGGAAAAGCCTCTTTTGGAAGAAAAGCAGAAAAAGATACACAAATTGAGGTTCACAATTTCCATATCTTTTTCCAACTTTTCTTTGTAGTGTAGACATAGCCTAAGCACCAAGATTTGTATAGCATACAGAATTTGGCTCTTAACTATCATCTGATCATAAATCAGGCTTTGATACTGAAACTCTTTCAGAATCTTACTTGTGTGGTCTTCCCCTAGGAAAGGATTTAAGTTTGGGTGTAAATCCCATTGACTTCATAGAAATGTATGCACATTCTTAATACTTTCCTGAATCACAACCTAAAGCAGAACCTCTTAGAGGGCTCTCTGCTGAGTTATACTTCCGATAAATCCAGACTGAGATCCAAATTCAAAAATAAGTGCCAGATCCATCTCTGGTGATATCATATTAAAATCAATGAGGCATTACCAGAAATTAATTTGGTCCATACAATTCAAAAGGCATCACATTTAATTATTTTCTTATTTTATGGATTCTTTATCTTTAATCAGAAAGAAACAAAACAAAACAAAAAAGATGGAGAGCATTAATATATCAGCAAAATACTACGAATACTCTTACATTAGTAATCTAACTAAAGTGCAGTTTTCAAACCCTTACTACTCAGGTTCTGCAGGCTTTTAACTAGTACACATTTAGGAACCCCATCCCCACCACTGGCTTAAATGAAAGTTTTGCCTCAGTAAGGCAAGACTTGGAAGAGATGACCTTATACTTACATGAGAGAAAATAAAACCTAAGTATTATCTTCTGCTTTTGGGAACTGGTCATATTAGAAAACATAGATGCTATTTACATATTTTCCCTTCTAGATATCCTAGATGACAGGGTGGAACCTAACAAAAGTTTCTTCATTTCCTTCTGCTGAAGTAGTTGATCCTGCTAACTGATTTGGTTAAAGCATTTTTAACCCCAAGTAATTGGTGTGAGTTCCGGTCACTCAACACAGCTTTTAGTGTCTGATTACGTAGTCAGGTAACTTGCCAGAAGTAAGTATTTTTTAATATCGAACAGAGGCGTTTTTTTAACTCAGTTGTTCCATCCATGTTTTTTAAATCAGTCAGATAAATTCACCTTGTTTCTAATGGCCTGAAGCCTGATAGTGTTGCACATTTGATAAGTAATTTAATCATCACTGGTGTGGATGAACACAAATGCAAAGTAACTGCTGAAAGGGTTAGGCGTCCCTTAGACAGCTCTGTCTTTCCATTTTTATGCAGGCACTGAGCTTCACCAACTGGTTAGCTGGAGGTGTTATTAAAAATTTAGAGAGAGAAACAAAGGTGTGCTCTGGTGTCTCCTATTACCCTTTCTACTGTTACGTGGGCAGACAAAAGGTATGGAACCTGCTTCATGAATAATAAATCATGTAATATGCATAATGCATTTTTAATGGTAGTAATAACATTAAGACAGATATTTACAATTTTCACATTTACACTGTAACAGTACCAGTAAATTGTTCTGATTCTTCACCAGTTAGATTATCACAGCTATTTGTGACCATTCATTTCAAATAGCTAACTTTGAAATTGTCATTCTTTATGGACTTGAGCCTGAACTTCTTAGATGTCAAGAGCAGATCTCCTATTGGCATCAGATCCAGCGGTGTATGCACTGTACAGTGGAATTTTGTCACTATTATTAATTCTGGTGACCTTGCTCAGTTTGAACTTGGTCCTTTCACAAGTAAAACCCACACAGCTTTCAATGGGCAGCACGCCTGAGTAAAGACTGAATAAGAACGCCTAGATTTGGTCCATTGGTTGCAGGAAATTTTAAACAGAAACTTATTTTTAATCAGTTCATCGTGTTTCCTTTTGACTAGCACACAAACACCCTGGACTTGTTGGGCCCTTGGATTAGCCTGCCAGGATTGACCTTCTTACTTCTCACCTAGGCTATGCTAGTGTTGGGTCAACATTAGTCCCTTGCAAGCTATTGTTCAGTTAGAGCTCCTGCTTCCCAGTTTAGTGCTGCAGCCTGGTTCCCAAAACTTCACAGATACCATCAAGGAAAGTGCTAAAGGTTCAGGCTGCCTGAAGCACTGGAGAACTCTAAAGTGCTTAATTTGGAGTCATCTTTCTGATGTCAGAGAGTCTGGTCAAGAGTGAAAAGAATCTTTCTGAAGAGAGAAGGTGGAGTGTATTTCTGTTGGGATCTGAAATCTGAGGTCAGCAAGGAAGTCCCCTCTGAATTCACGTCTCAGTATTCCAGCCTCCATTCTGCTTACTGTTTTTCCTGTAGAGCCAATTTAAAATATTTCCTTGTCACCTCCATCCTGCCAAATCCTCATCCCTCATAGCTTCATCTCTCACTGGTGCTGCCTCTAGTGTTCCCTGAACTATCCTCTTGGACCCCATATGTCATGTCGCTTCTTTCTCTCTTTCTTCAAATGCCTTCCCAAACCCCACTTTTCCTCTAACAATTACTTACTCTCTTGTGCCAAGTTTATTGACTATCCCTCCGTACGTGAACTAATACCAAAATGTACAATTACAGGATCTTATTGTGCATTTCTCTCTCCCCATCTCCTCCTGGCATGCTGTTACCTTGTTCCTTTGTGTCATGTCTTGCTACGCTTAATAAAGGAATTTGATGTGCTTGATTGAGTTCAGTGGGCCTACTTGTGTGCAAATTTACTCACGCACATAAGTGCTTCAGGAGAGGGCCTTCATTTGACAGCTCTGTGAGAAAGGGTTCATGGGTGAAATTTTCAAAGTGACAGTACTTAGGTGCAGATTTTTAAATGAATTCAGGCATTGCTGCACTTGCTGTGGCAAGGCCCAAGATGAGAGCTGAATGCCTAAATACCTTTGAGGATATGGGCCTAATTCCTATTGACTTGCAATGAGAAATATGCTCCTAAGCCCCTATCTTTTAGGTTCCTAAATCATTATGGTCCTTTTGAAAAATCTGTCCCATGTATAAAGTGTCATGCCCACCTATTGCAATATATATAATGTTGCATAATAATAGTAAATTTTCTAATTCTGTTAAGTTCTGTCCTTCAATAAAAATAACTGTACAGGATCCTCAATACTTTATTAATTTAAAACGTTATTCCAATAAATATGAACCAATAAACATAAGACACTCCGTAAAATCAAAATAAAGATATTTACAAGCCTGCCAACAAAGTAAAAACAGCATACTTTTCCACTGAGGTACACACAAGGTCATGTAAGGCAAATTCAATTGATTACATGTTCAAAACGATCCCTGCCCACCCAAGCAAGGCATGATAGCATTTAAATTTTTTTTTTAATCCCTAACATACAAACAAGTCTATTAGGAACTTGTTAGCAACTTCCCAATTACTTATAATCAAACCCAGAATGCTGGTGCTGATGGACATTTGGGACAGAAAGCCTGTGCCTGCTATTTGGTACTGTCTTTTTCAGTCAGGGCAATCAGTTGTGCTCAGGAGTTCCTAGTTATGAGGCATTAGTCTGTGCTTTGGCTTTTCCTATTAGTTCTTTAATAGGCCTCTCCTTCCCTAACTACTATAGAGCAAAATCCCAATCTTTTCAGACAAGAAACCCCATTCCTAACACACACAAACATTCATGCAACCAGGCCTTGTCTATACAGACAGACAAAGCTGGAAGGACAGGAGACATGGGCCTGATTCACTTCTCACACTAGTTTTACAGCAGTGTTAAGTCCTGACTTACACCAGTCTGAGTCAGATCAGAACCAGGCGCAAGTTGATCCCTTGGTGCTGAAAGCAGCAAAATATCCAGTGCAGCTCTTTCACTGCAAGCCCTCCTGATAGAGAATGGTCAATAAAGCTATTTAGCAGTCAAACTCCACAAAAGCAAGCACTTTTCATAACCTTACCAAACAGCTCGGTGTGTTTATCATGTAAACTCTGTTTCCCTGCACGTTAATTTCAGAAATAAAAAGGTGAAAGAATTCATCTCGCTGTGGGTGAAGGACTTCCCAGCTCACAGATATGTTCTAGCTTATCCACACTTGGAGCTTAAGGTTTCAGGTGGAAATGTTTATTTTCCAGTGTTGAGAGAGAGAAAGAGGGAAAGCCCAGCCTTTCAGATCCACTTTCAGGGTCCTTCTGGTTGAACTTTCAAAGCAGTGTCCTGTCCTGTCCCTCCTGAGCTCCGGTCCCAAAAGGTAATGTCAGAGTCTGTGCTAAAGGGCATGACTCAGGGTCATCAGGGAAGTATGGGAATTTGTTCACATAGTGTTGTAGGTGCTTTCTGTATCACAGCTGAGTCTCATTTCAGACCATGTTGTGTCTCCCGATGTCTCCTTAAATCCACCTTCCTCTGGAAGCCTTTGCCACACAGATCACAGCCAAAGGGCTTGAAACCAGTGTGCTTACGACTATGGGTGATGAGGTTGGAGCTCTGGCTGAAGGCTTTCCCACATACCTGGCACTTGTGGGGCTTCTCACCTACAAGGAAAAGGGGGTAAAGAAGGCAGGCCCAATATTAGACAATCGGTATAGCACACAGGCAGAGCCAGGGCAAACTAGCCACAGTGGATGTACCCCATGCTTTCACGTGATGACAATGTTGCATACAATCATCCCTAAGTGATCACAGAGCACAGACACTCTCTGGGACAATACTGTAGGTGAAACTCTGCCCCACCCAAGTTAATGGCAAAACTCCCATTGCTTTCAGTAAGAACAAGACTTCAATCTATGTTCCGTTTCAGTAATGTATGTTACCAGATTTTGGTCCAGCTTGTGTCAGTGTCACTCCAGAGTATATCTATGAGCTGAGTTAGAATCTGGCCAAAGATCTGGCCGATAACGTCCAATTTAAAAAAAAACGACTGGCTTTTCAATTCTCTTCCTCCATTCCATTTTACCATTTAAATGGTTCAACTGAACCATTTTTTTCAAATGTCACCAGTTTAAAGTATAGGTACTCAACTTGAGACAAACTGTAAGTGGCTTTACTCTGAAGTTTCACTAGAGTAAGCGAGTTTAAATTTATAATAATAATAATAATAATAATATGTAAGTTCGTTTCTCAAAACCACTTGTGACTCTTAGAAAATCAAATACTTGGACAAACAGCACTTATTTTCTATATGTATATTCAGATCACTATTATTTTCTATGATTTAAACACATGATGCTAGCAGTTTGAAAGGGAAGCTTCATTTTTAAAGATGTCTGAGAAAACCTGCTGCCTCTTTCTAATAACATTCTTAGAAAAAATGGCTTCCTTGAGTAATTTATCTGCAGTGTATTAATTTCTATATGCATTAGCACCAACAATGAAACTTGAGAACTGTGCACCTTTCCTCCCATTATATGCCAGACTGCAACCATTTGATTGGAAAATCCGGGTAGAAACCCAATAGAGAGATAATCACTGAGTAAATATTTAGAATGAGAGTTGGACCCTGGGCCCTTGAGTTTAGTGTTTAATCTAGAGGAGGAGGCTGCTGCTGCTGCTATTGTAAAGTGGCAGGCTCTGCAGATGGAGATGTTGCAGTCAGATTCACCTGTCATTTTCCAAGAGCCCCCAGCTCTAAATCAAGGCCATATGAATATATTGCTTTACAAGTCATTTGACTGAGAAGCCCTTCCAAATAAACACAGGGTGGATCCTATTAAAGCAACACTGATTGGACAGTGAGGATTTCAGTTATTAAACAGAGGCTGCTCATGAAACCGAGGTCAAATTCCGCTTTTTTGCACCATTGCTCTGCTTGGGTTTCCATAGTGTGAGCTACCCTTCTGGTGCAAGAACCCGGCAAAGGGAGCTGCAAGGTCTAGCTGAAGATAAATGGATTGGTGGGAAGGAAAAATCTCCATTTCAGAATCTATTTTAATGAATAAGGCATGAAAACCAGCTGCTGCAGGACTGACCTGTGTGAATGAAAGTGTGTTTCTTCATGTCAGATTTCTGGTGGAACCGTTTCCCACAGTACTGACAGGGATAGGGCCTGGTGTCTGAGTGGATGAGCAAGTGGGTGGACAGGGTGGAAGATCTCTTAAAACTCTTGCCGCAGATCTTACAATCAAAACTGCGCTCCTGCAGAAAGAGTGAAAAGACATCCCATTATGCCACAAGATCGCCAACGATGCAGTCTGCCTGTCAGTGCATTAACAAACACCCCTAGGAACCACATCATCCTCCGCAGTACACACCAGGCCCAGTGGACACACTAACCTAGGCATTACTCCCACACTTGGTAAAACACCTCATTGATTCACAGAAAAATTCATTTTCCTCCCAATACTAATCACTAGTCAGACCTAGTTATTGAATGGAACGGCTCTTCCAAAGGAAGGGGCTGTGTGTGGGAGTAGCTACTTGGGTGCCCCAGACTGTGCGCTACACAGGGGGCTCCAAGAAAGGAGACATGAGACTTTGCTAATTAGCCCAGCTGCCCCATCGTAGCCTACGGTGGCATTTGGGTAATGACTTTGGCAAGGTACAGGACCCCGCCTGCTGAGGACTGTGGGAGGGTGAGGCATTGAAAGGAACTTTTGGATTGGGTTGAATTGTATTGGGCAGTTGATGTTTGCTGCTAGATTTGCTTTTTGTCGCAATTCAAATCAAAGGTGCCAAGGTCTTTAACAAAAGAGCCCTTTGATTGCTAATATTTTCACAAATCAAAATACATACACTTGGAGTCACCAGTGCCTCTCCCTCCACACCTCTTCCCCTCAGACCTTTAGACACCACACCACACATTCCTCTTCTCCCTTTGCATACACTCCTGTGCTCCCTCTTAATTCCCCATCACAAACTCCTCTGATTCTTCAATCTTGTTCCCCTACCAGGCACTCCTCTCTTCCTCCAAGACCTTGCTATGCTTTACAGACACATCTCCCTGCTTTAGGTCTGTATTTGGCAGGCAGCATTTGCCTATTGTGTTTTCCCCCAAATCTTTTTTCCTCACATTTTTAATGCAGTACGTTGCTCATTTGTCCACTGTTTAACTGGTGAGATTTCCCTTTCTTAGGGGCCCTGCAGTTGCACACTCATTCACATGTAAATAAAACAGCAAAAAAGGTCTGTTTGTAACTCTGTCCTCCTGAAGCTGATCTTAGGAAGGAAGATTTGCCAGGCCAGGTGGGTGGGCGAAGGGAAAATACAGTACAATATCAGCAAGGTGGAAAAAGTTACAAATCCTCCTACCAACATTAACGACCATATTCTTCTTGTGACTCAGCTCACACTGAGATGGGTGAAGTCTGCTTTCTACAGACAACTGGGTATTCGGATGCTCCCTGCACATACACACTAACTAAAAAGGACGGCAGATTCGCTCCTTTTGGGGGAAAGCTGGCAGGGTGGGGACAAACAGTTCCTTTAACTGCTACAAAATTCCATCATCTCTCCCACACAGTCCTGACTTTGTGTGAGAGTGAGAGGCAAATTCATGACATGAATGGCTGTTTTATTGTAAAGTGCCATCAATGTCCATAGCTCATTACAGAAAAACAGGGGGCCTGGGACCATTGGAGGGAATTTGGTATGTATACTGTTTTGTTGATTTCATTACTCTATATAGGCTACATCTACATTGCAGGCTTCTTGTCCAAGAACTGTTTTGCGCAAGAGATCTTGCTTAAAAGATCTTGCACAAGAGCGCGTCCACACTGCCCATGTGATTTTGCGCAACAGATGTGCTTTTGTGCAAGAGTGTCCATGGCAGTATGGACACTCTCTTGCACAATAAAGCTCTGATGGCCATTTTAGCCATAGCCTGTTGCCCTTCACACTGCCTTCTTGCACAAGAGCTGTTACTCAAGAGGGCTTATTCCTCGTTGGGAGAGGAATAACTCTTGTGCAAGAAGCCCTCTTTTCTGATACTTTTACTGTAAATTTACTTGTGCAAGAACATGCGTTCAGTGTAGATGCTCCACAAGTTTTTGTAGAAGAACAGTTGTTCTTGCACAAAAAAGCCTGCAGTGTAGATGTACCCTATGTTTATAGTGCCTGAATCCCAGATACCCACATGTCACCCTGTTCTCCTCTACCTTCCACTGTGCCTCCATCATTTCCAGCACTCTCCTGCCTCTGACAGCCACTATGCCACTCAGATTCCTTACCCTGAATGCCTTCCTGCCACTCGGCCCGCTCACCCTTCATGCCCATCAGCTCTATCCTCTCACCTCAAGTGCCCATCTACCACCATCCAGTTGCCTCTGCTGCCTCTTTAACTCTGCACCCATGGCCCTAGCAAGCTTCCTTTGCATAACACCCACCCCTGCCTTGGCTCTTACTTGGGAGTGCACAGTCTTGTGCTGCTCCAGGCTGACCGCATGGCCAAAAGTCTTGCCACACATGTCACAGGCAAAGGGCCTGGTGCCACTGTGTGAGCGGCGTACATGCACCTCCAAGCCATGGGGGGTGGAGAAAACCTGAGAGGAGAGAACACACAAGGGTCAGGCAGGTTAGAATGGGGAGTCAGAGGTTTGGGTAGGAGCGGAATGGAGGAGGTTCCTACCTTGCTGCATTTGACACACTTATAGGAGCCAGTGCTGATCAGCAGTGGGCGGCACAGAAGCTCTGACTCCACCTTGATCCCACCTGGGCCTTTCTCCTGCTGCAGCCCAGACTGGGACTCTGCATAGAGGCCTGGTGTTGCTGCTGATGGCCGCTCAAAGAGTCCTGGCCCAGTAGAGCTGAAGTCACCATAAAGTCTCAGGGCTGAGCCACACTCTGCCCTGAATAGGGCAGACTCTGAGCTCCGCTCACAGAAGAGCCCCAGGGCTGAACTATGCTCCAGAGTTGGGCAGGGCCTGTAGTTCTGCACCAGATGCCTGAGCTCTGAACTGCCCAGGGTGCTCCATGCATATGGCTTGAAGGGCACTGAGAAAGGGGGCGCCTCATCCAAGGAGGGACAAACAGAACGCTCAGATGCTGTGGAAACACAAGGGGAGGGAATGATTAGTGGGGTTCATAGCACAGCTACCACCTACTGGATGCAAAGCCCAACATAGGTTTCAAAATCAGACGCCTATCAGTACTGCACACTCACTCACAGGAGGGCTGCCTCCTAACCTCTCACAAAGGGGTCTGGAAGATGGGGGCGGAGGGTCACAGCCACACTGCACACACCTCCAAAGCCAGCTTTTCAAAAATGGACACTAGTTTGGGGTATCTCCATTTTTGGGTGGCCATCTTGGACCCTTCAACCTGATTTGCACAGATGTTGCTCACCTGCATTTCCCACTGACTTTGACTAGAATTTTGGGTACTCAGCACCAATGAAAAACATATCCAATATGTGTGTCAGACTGGACACCTAAAATTAATGGCTACATTTAAAATTTATCTAATTGATTAATTAGTAATGTAAAGCACACATGATTAATTAATTAATTAATTAATTACGCTTGCGCTTCAATAACATTTTCCATATTCTCCTATGTATACCATTTTGAATGTGCCAGTAAGAGGTCCCTAGGTAAAAATGTGTTGTGTTTGCACTTTTAGCAGAACTGAAATCCTTCTGTTTGACAACTTAATGCCTGAATTAGTTTTCAGATTTGGCACCATAAGTCTTTAGAGGACAGTTAAATTGTCTTTCTAATGTTCCTCACTTTTCCAGAGGAAACATTTTAAAATAGTCTCTTGCTGAAAAGTAGCAATTTTACACTCTTCTCTCTCTGGGTTCCTCTCACCAAACAAGTATGGCCCTCACAAACTGAATTTCACATACTCCAGCCCTCATAAACACAGTATGAAAACCTTGCACATAAGCCACATTTAAAATAAAAGACACAAAAGAGAGTTATTGCTCTCTTCCTGGTCATAATCTATATGAATTGCACCATGATGGACTGCTGGAGGCTCAGGTACCTCACTTACTGCTGTTTTTGCCAACAAAATGAAAACAAAAATGTTTGAAGTGTTTTGGAGTTTGTGCTTTGCCAAATGTTTCCAGCCAGTGCTAACCTGAGCCAGCAGTTCTGTTCATACCCCAGGTGAGGGAGACGAACAGCAGGGGTATAGAAATGGACTCTGGGAAAGAGCTTGAGCTCTGGAGAGCAGGGTTTGGAGGATGTGAGTTTTCAAATGCTTGTTGAAAACCAAAAGGGTTAACAGAGACATTCAAGGGAGCGTAGGAGGCAGCTCAGAGTTAGGCCAAGAGACACAAAGAGATAGAACTCAGTTGATTTGGCACCGGCAGATTGGATCTTGAAGGGCTTCCACCTGGACTCCCCATTACACCAGCCAGCAGCACAGGGGCAGTCAAGTGTTTCTGTGCTGAGGTGCCTGTGTATCAAGGGTTCCCCATAGCATAACTGCACTGTTGGGCTAAGAAGAAGAGGCAACAGTGGGGCGTGTTTAATTAACCCTTCTCACATTGATGCTGCTACAGAGAGCTATTGGGCTTCATCACTCCACCAGCTGCCTAAACAACCTCTCCTTTTGCTCAGCCAAAAACCTCTTCCAGAAACTCCCACTTTTATAGCCATAAATTACTCCCCTGGCTCCTTATATGCCCAGTCAATTCCTGGCTTCCAAAGGTAAAGTCACAACCTCTCAACACCCCCTGACCACACCAAGATGAGGGAGATGTATGGCTATGTGTGCAGTAAAGCAGGGAGCGGAGATGGAAGAGCACTGAATGACTTAGCTGCTTCTTTCCATGTAGGCAAACTCACACACACACACACACACCATTGGCAGGTAGGAAATGGGTCTGTAGTGCTAACATGATGGTGAGCAGGGGCCCAGCAGCTTGTCAGCCTGTCAGCTCTCTCCCTTCTTCACAGCCAGGGTCACAGCTCTTGTCATTTTATTTTGGCACAAGTCTCTGAGCATTTGTTGTTTCTCTTAAAGCCCCAGCTCCCGGAAGGATGTGATTTCATCAGCACTGCAGCTTGCTTTCAGCTGTGAACAGTAGCAGGCTCCCCTGGCTGGGTGTAAAACTAGAAACAGGCCCCCTGAATGCCCCAGTACTAATAGGCTCAATGAAAAGACCCCAACACTCTAGTCTGTAATGTCTCATGATTGTTAAGCCAGTCTCTGTGTTTTGGGGGGAGAGGCAGACTTATGCTTTGGCACCCTTGGAATAGGCAATGGGGACTGGCCCCATTGGGCTGTGAAGACCAGCCTTGTTGAGTCCCACCCCAACAGATACCCACATTTCCTGCCCTCCCCCTACACACAAACACACACTACCCCCTCACTAAGCGCACACACACCGCCCCCTCACTAAGTGTGCACACACACATACAGCCCTCTCACTAAGCACACACACACACACACACCGGCCCCTCACTAAGTGCGCTCACACACACACACACACACCACCCCCTCACTAAGCACTCGCACATAGATACACACACACACACACACACACACACACACTGCCCCCTCACTAGGAGCACAACACTCACACACCGGCCCCTCACTAAGCATGTGCACACACACACACACTTCCCCCTCACTAAGCGCACACACACCGCCTCCTCACTAAGCGCGCACACACACACACACATACACACACCACCCCCTCACTAAGCACACACACACATACACACACCACCCCCTCACTAAGCACACACACACATACACACACCACCCCCTCACTAAGCACACACACACATACACACACCACCCCCTCACTAAGCACACACACACATACACACACCACCCCCTCACTAAGCACACACACACATACACACACCACCCCCTCACTAAGCACACACACACATACACACACCACCCCCTCACTAAGCACACACACACATACACACACCACCCCCTCACTAAGCACACACACACATACACACACCACCCCCTCACTAAGCACACACACACATACACACACCACCCCCTCACTAAGCACACACACACATACACACACCACCCCCTCCCTGAGCACACACACACACATGCACACACCACCCCTCACTAAGCACACACACATACACACACCGCCCCCTCACTAAGCACACACACACACATACACACATGGCCCCTTCCCTAAGGGCTGGAGGGAGTCGCAGAAGCACAACACACACTACTCCCTCCCCTCAGCCACCACTACAGGGCAGAGTCATGTCCCGCCTTCCCTCCCCCCACCCAGCTCCGCCAGGCACGCAGGTGCCGCCGTTTTGTCGGGTTTTGCACAGGTCATGCAAGGGAGGGGAAGAACCCCTCCCCCATAAGGGCCAATGAGACTAAATGTCTGAGCTAATAAAGGACTGCGTTATACAACACTGCACACACCCCATCTCTCCGCCTTCCTGGGCAGAGCCTCATACCTGGGGCAAGGCATCATGCAAAGACAAGAGCAATGATTTATTTACTGGTGTGTATGAATGTGCTTGATACTAACGTTTTTATGGCCTATGTCCGGCCGGGTGTCATTACACACACACATGCACAGAGAGCTGATCGGTATTAGTGCATTTACAGACCATCGTCCTGTGGATAAATACGGTAGCGTTTATGCTACTTATAAGTGCAATTAGTAATATTACAAATACCCTGTACCAATGGCTGTGGCACGGAAATAGACTGTTCACATTTTAGGCACTAGTGCAATGTGACTACATATACTCAGCCTGCGCATCCCATGAACCGGGCACATAAATGAGCTTCAGTCCCGCCATTCGCGTAGCAGGCGAACCTCGTATCTTCGGTAGGTTCTGCCTGTCTACGCGCGCACGGACTCTCACTGCCGCTGCCCTGTCTGAGTGTGGTTGGGAAACGCCGTTTCTCTTTTCTTGTCCAGCACAGCAACGATCGACTACATATACTCAGCCTGCGCATCCCATGAACCGGGCACATAAATGAGCTTCAGTCCCGCCATTCGCGTAGCAGGCGAACCTCGTATCTTCGGTAGGTTCTGCCTGTCTACGCGCGCACGGACTCTCACTGCCGCTGCCCTGTCTGAGTGTGGTTGGGAAACGCCGTTTCTCTTTTCTTGTCCAGCACAGCAACGATCTTGCGGCA